TACTATTTCTTCGCATTTTTATTTGGGTCACCATATTTCAAAAAACCGAAACCATATTTAGAAATGAGGAAATGTAAATTAAATTTCATATGCTTGTGGGTGGTCTAATTTTGACAGCGCGGATTTTCTCTGTGATGAGTTCGCCGCTCGCTAGCATTTTGTTTCAGGTATCACCAGTCAGTTTTGTTGTGGTATAAAAAATAATTCGAACAGTAACATGATGGTATTTAAATATTTCCACAAAATTCATATCGCCAACTGTTAATTTTAGTTCCAAAAAAAGGAAGAATTTTAATATTTGTATCTTCACAATTCGTATCTGGCACAAATTTTATTAATGACATTGGTTTTATCTTTAAATCAGCTTGCATAAAGATTGATAATAAGAATGAGTTAGTAAGTTCCCTCATCCACATATCTACACATATATACGTGAAAGTAAAGCCCCTTTCCCTATCGTATGTCTGGTTAAATCCATAATTTTTTTTATTAATAATATTAATATTTAATGAAACATTGTGATATATATTTAAAGTAACTTATGAATTAATTTTAATACAACTTAAAAAAAAGTGGCAACCATTCTACAGGCACGGCACACGGTATTAGCATAGACAATTTTTTCAAAATATGAATTTGTATCCGCTAATTTTTTATAAAAATGTGGTTCAAACTACAAAAAAAAAATCAAACAAAAAAATTCAAATATAATTTCCAAACTTTGTGCAAAACTCAGGAGAATTCAATAAATTTTCATGCAAATATTCAACTTTCAGTTTTTTTTACCTTTGATTTAAGCAATTTTGTTTTGTAGAAGGTGTTTCGCATTTTTTCCATAAAAAGTATTTTCGAAAATTTTTCATCAAATCAATTTGTTACAAACTGCATACTCAAAAAATTTCAAAAATCTGATTAAAAAATTGAACATTTGCATGAAAGTTTATTGAAATTTCCTGAGTTTTGCACAAAATCTAGAAAATATATTTTCTTGTTTATTCATTGGAGTATGAACCATATTTTTATAAAATATTAACAGGGAAATATTAACTAAAAATTGTTGCATATATTGTGAAAAATTCTCGGTGCCAATACTGTTTGCTGTGAGTGTGTACAACAAGTAGAAATTAAGCCTTTTCAAACCCTTTTCGATTGGTGCCCATCTTTTGATAACTAAGTCAAGTTACTAAATGATTTGAATTTAACTTGTTTAACCAGGCGAAAACTCTCTTCAAACAATATGCAAATATTCCAAATGTTTAAACTAAACATTTTCGTTTGACACCCTTATTTTGATATTTCATATAACTTGTGTAAAATATTATTAAATCCGACTCTCTAAGCAGGTGGCAACCCAAACTAAAATTGCCAACATTTTTAAATTACCTAAGTCCGTTAATTCAAGTTGAATCTGGCTTTTTAAATAGGTGGCAACCCTACTACATGAGAATGAGGAATAAAGCCTTTTCAAAGCCATTTCGATTTATAACTATATCGTAATGATTCATTTAACATAATGAATAATTTGAATTTAATTTTTTAAAATGGGGATCTCTATCAAAAAAAAAAAAAATAAAACTTTACATATAGCTGCAGTCCAAATCCTTTTATTTTACACCACCTTTTTGAAAATCGGAAGAATGATGCTGATCAAATGACATTGACTAATGGCACCTTCGCGTATTATATTAATGGATGTACATACGTGTGTATGTGTATATATTGTGTATGTATACAACGTGTCTTTGACCACCCGTTCACCACTTCTAAAATGGAGGAAAATGTTTTTATTTAATCATGAACTACCAAGTCGGGGATGCTATATCTGATGGTCGCATTGTTGACTTCCGGTTTCGACCGGTGTACTATTCGCGTGTTTGATGACCTTTTTCCACCTTTCGTTGAGCTTCTTAGTTCCACTTTCGTAGAAAACCTGACTTTATTGTCGAAAAACCCAACAATAAAATAATAATAAATTGCCTCAAAAGAATGAAATATCAGGGTGTTGTGAAAAGAGAGAACCAAGTATACATATGTAAGTCTAACTGCGCATGGTGAGTTCAATATGCTGACACCTGCATTCTCAGCTCCAAACATTTGTGGCGTGCTGGAATATCGTTCCTTTATGAACGACAAGCTCCTGACGTTTCTGGATTCAAACTAACCAATTTCCAACAGTGCTGGTTCCAATTGATTGTTCAGTTTCTGGTTCTTCTTCTGTTTGATAGACGCTCTAACGGCTTAAGCGAAGTCAATAGTTCCGTATCAATTACAAACACCGATAGAAGCTACAGCCCTACCCACCTGATCTGTTCGGTGCAGAGGAAGCTTCCCTTCTTCTACCAACACCAATGGATTTGCGTCCATTAATTTCGAATTTCCTTGTTTTTCTGGACTCACAGTTTTTGGTACACAGGGGCGTATACGTATCCTGGATGCGACGAGATAATTGGTGGTGTTCTTAATTCAGAATGAGATCGAACAAGTTCGAAATCGTTTTCGAGTCGTTTTCATTTCGATTCGGCAATAAGTTGCAACAGCTATTGTCAGTTATTTTCCTGACGGAAACAAGTGATTTTTTTTTTAAATCAACTAATTGAAAGACTACTTTAAAACAAATGCAATGAGTATATGTTTCGAATCTTATACTCTTTTTGCTTAAAAAAAGAACCAATTTGTGTCTTGCAAGTATGGAAAAGCATCTGTGAAGTGCAGAACGAAAGCGTATTCAAACGAAACATACTGACTTTGAAGTTGGATAAGCCAACTTCATTTTAAAGTAGTTGAAAATACATGCAGGAAGAGGCAATTGACTGCTTCCTAGGATATCGCCATGTTAAATAAATGAGTTCGTTGCAGATAAAATACTGAGAATTTCAATTAGTTATCATTGAAAATAAAGTATGTAGTTTATAAATTACTTTCAAACCAACTCAATTTCCTGCAGGGTATGTACATACGTATTTAATGAAATCATTTTACACCACAACCAAATTTGGAGCAAATTGACAGACGAACCAAATTCAATTGCACTGCCGTCATAGTGCTGAGCGCAATGCCTTTCCAAATGCCGGTTGAGTGTAGCGTTCGTTCGACTAACGAATTGCCAAAGTGCTGAGCACAATTCAATTTAATGCGCTGACCTTTCTAAAAACGAGGATGCCGCCTTACTACGAGAAAAAAAAGCAACAACATGCAGGAAGGTGCGGTGCGAAAACCTCAACAGATAGGCGGCAGCCCGTTGCACACCTGCGTACTAGTGGAGATATAGGCATACAAAAACATATATTCAAATACATAACTATGCTGTCATGTTGGACGAATACAAAAAAAAAAACAAATGACGAATACTTCCTTGCCTTCTAGCTATCCTACTTGTCTTTTACAAACAAGTCACATACATGCAGTCTCCGCCAAAATTCTGGCATCCAGCCTTACTACAAACCCTTAACAACAGTCAATGTCAGAGATCGATAGCACCTACATACCAATATATACATATGTACATCGTGGAAACGACGGATGTTATGCGACAACGGCAATCGTTCTTCGCATTTGAGTGACTTTTAGCGTTGTTGGTGGCATTGATTGAAATTCGATATTGCGAAGGCGTGTGCTTATGTCGGCATAAATTTGTATGCGTTCATGTTTTTGTGTTTGTGTGAGAGTGAAGCTGATACTTAGATAGTACGAGTAAGTTTGTTATGCCCAAAGCAAATTACCACTGAGTACTTACAAAGTGTGTTAGCGCCGTTTGTGCCGGATAAATGTGCGCCCGCTTGGGAGGGATGGCTATGTGTTTGGTTGCTTATGGCTTGGGCAGCCATAAAAAGTAGGCGGATGAAAATCAATGTGCTATTTCATAAATTGTTATATCGCATAAAAAGACGATGACGAGACACGTAATTTCCTAGGAGCAGCACATTTGATGGCATTTTTTTTTGCTGATGCCTATGTCTGCGAAAGAGCGGAAGTGAAGGATTCCTAAAAACTTGCTAGGATATTCAACAAATGGTTTAATCATTTGTCGTTTTTGCTACTTCAGAGAACTTCCGCTTCACATTTTCCGTAAAAAGCTCTGTGGTGTGTGTGTGGTGTGTGGTATCGGAAAGATTTTCTATTACTCCCAGATCCAACCAGTGGTGGTGTGTAGCCTAAAAAGTCGCGAGTGGCACAATGTGTCGCAAAATTTCGACAAGTTCAACGCTGATAGGTGGTTTTTCTCTCTGTAAATGTCTGGGCTGGGCTCAAGGGATACGTACATAAGGAGTCGCAAGCAAGATTATTGCTATCAGGTGGTGCGGCACTCCTTGTTGGCTGGTTTCCCCGTCTTAAGTAGTGGGACCCTTCTCCCTTATTTTCGCATATCTGAAATAACGAGTATAGTAATGGACAGGTTGGGGGTATTGATGAGATAATCTACTCTCGTAGAACCCCTTTTTTTTTGGGAACATGTTTGACCAAGGTAGGCGAAAGAACTGCTTAGAAGTTACAACTTCAAAAGATCTAGGAAACTAAATAATCCACTTAGGTTTATAGCAGGACTACTAACGGTTCACCGCAGGCTGCGGTGGTCCGCCATATAAATACCCTGGGGATCAGTGCAGACGGTTCATGTCGTTATTGCGACCTGCCAGCTGGAACCCTCTGCAAATTCTTTTCGACTGCGATGCGGTTGCGAGAAGAAGGCGGACACACCTGGGAAGGTTGTGGCTAGAGATCCGTTGGTATAGGACCTGTTTTGTCGAAGTTAATGTACAAGATGGAATGAATATAAATTTTTCATCAGATAATGTCAATTATTTATTTATAAGCCCAAGTTTTTCAGCCAAACGTGCAGAAGAACAAGATCCCAGCGGCAAATTCCTCCTTTTCTTTCATTACAGAAATTCAAAAAAATTGTTGTTGCTTTTCCACAATAGTTTTTCATTCAAAACAGATTCAAGCTCGATAAAAATTGTTGAACATGGCTTAGAGAATTTTATATTTTATATATAGGCAATTTAAATCATCGACTTCACTAAGGCGATCAAAGAGCCTGTAAAACGTAGAATCTGTATAATCAGAAAGAAAAAAGTCAATTATCCATAGCATAGATAAGAAATGAAGTGGATATTCTTAATTTTAAAGCACGTAACTTACCGAAGTCAGTGTGGGTAAGGATGGCGCAAAAAACGGGACTTTCACCACCAAGCTACGTTGAGCGCGTATAATAATGAGGAGTACCATTCTCTGAACTCGTACGCTATGCGTGTACCATTTACTGCTATAGACCGTGGTGGCCAGTTCAGAACTCTAAATGAAAGCCAGAAAAGAGGCATTATAAAAAGAATTAATAATTTTATTCCATCTCACTCACAAACTCAATGATCACAGTGCCGCCTATGCAATAAAGAAAGAGTTCGGTAGAAACGGCCATAGTATGGGTGACGTAGACGAAAACTCCATAATCAGAGAACTGTCAATTAAAAAGGAAAATATTACAAGAAAGATATTAAAACTCGATTCCTTAATTTAAAAATTATTCCATTTTGAGTGAGACAATAATCATACCAACAACAAATCCACTACGCAAGTTCCAATAATGAGGCTCGAAGACACAAATTGTCCCAAGGTCATAAGCGCCATGACCGCCGAGAATCGGTTAATTAAATCGACAATTTCATTGTGACGCGCAATGAGCTTTTTCAAACCCTCCTCAATATCTCGCTCTGCATAGCGGTTACTCCCCTGCTCACTGTCAATGTCAGCCAGCAAATCGCTGAGATCATACTGGAGCGCCTTTAAAAGTGTACCGAAATACATGCAGAAGCAGAGAAATAAACCATCAGCGCCAGCAAAACCTGCAACCGTTATGTAGCCATGCCAATGCGACAGCGTGAAAGTTAACGGAAAAATTGGCATCGAAACGAGGGGTTGTGGAAAACTGAAAAAGAAAAAAATAATATAAATCAATTCTACTTTGTACCACCAGCGGAACTCCTACACTCACATCATTTTGAAAGGCGTCTCAAATGGTATTTCATCTCCACGCACGTAGGCCGAGTAATTCACAATGCCAGCGCGTATGGTGTACAAGGTGCTCGTAAGGAAACCGAAAAGTAACACCGACGAAGAGAGTCGCGTTCCATTCGCAAAGTACTTGCGTTTACAATCCAATTTCCGTGGACTATTTTGCTCGGCAGTCAACTCCGCTACACGATGGACAAGGCGTTCGATCTCTGCACGATGCCACCAGATGAAACAAACTTTGAAGACGGACATGATACTCGAAGCGACTGGACAGAGTGCATCCAAGGCGCGCATTGCATCGGTGGAGAGAAAGCTTAAGCCAAAGGCGAACTCAGCATAGGAGCCATAGACGAGTATGATCAAGTTGAATAAGGCCCAAGCGTTCATCAGTGTAGACTTGCCAAGCTGCGGATAGAAGCCAATGACGCCCAAAGCGAATTTGGGTACCAAAAATAAGTTCTTCTCCGTTGGATAGGATTGCAGCAAGAACTTTGGCAACATTTTTTATTTTTTATTTTCTTTCTTTTAACAGCTGCTACACTACGAATGTCAGCTATTGGGGCTTGACTGAAGTACTTATAGGCCGATTAGGCATTAATTTGGAAACTAGTGAATAGTTACTAGTGGGTGAGCGGGAAATGGTGAAGCGTCACAAATTACAATAATAACAGTGTGGCTTACTCAAGCACTTAATGCACCAGATAATATTACTACGAGTATAGTTATTAAATCAATTTGTGTTAACGCACGAAAGCTTTGCACTCAAGTGCTACATACACTAACAAAAAAATATGAAAATTCCATAAAAAAAGCTACTTAATCGAAATAAAAATTTTTTAAATTAGATAATGGGATTCCGAGTCCTTTAGCTCTTTAACCAGACCTTATGCGGTAAAAATAATTTAAATCAGGATCTACGACACCCATATATTGACAAGTTTTGACTACCTATTTCAATATTATTTAATTTCAATTATTTTTCTATAAAATCTTAGTTCATTATTTAATAAAAACTGTATAAATCCAAGTTTCAAACTTTGTGCAATATTAAAAAAATCAATCAAGTTTCGGTAACATTTCGAGCGTTTAATAAGATTTATAAGGAAGATATGGAATATGCAGTTTGGTAGCGCATTCGATTTTGTTATGATTAAGAGCAACTTTGAGAAAGCAATGACTTGCTGTTAATTTTTTGAATTTTTATTTATGACAAACAATTATCGTATATTTTCAATGTTTTTGTAGTGCGAATAAAAAAAGCATTTCACTTCGAAAAGTTAGGGGTTTTGTGGTTTAATCAACGATTTTCTTAACTTTCTTCGCGTTTGGCCACTACGTTCTTCTACCCTACACTTCGTAATTACACTGCATGTTTGTGGAGAACGCTTGCTCTCTTATTGGATTGTATTGCAGCACTTACTCTTCTTCTTTAGAACCAGCGCATTTCACTGCCTTACCATACCTCTCCTTCATCTTATCCCTCATAATAAAATTACATTGGCCGTGCATTTTTCTCATCTCTTCTTTTAGGATATTGGAAGTTTCTTTGTTATAACTTCTCGCATCGCCACTTATTCCAAACTTCGAGAAAGTAGACAAACGTATGTACATAGGTAATAGCGGATAATTACTTTCTCAGGATTTCCATAACTGCTAAGCCAGTCTGCTATTGGAAAATGGACCAGCTACGTCCACTCGAATGTTGTACCCGAACTATGCTGTCTCATCTGAATAAGAATTCTTGATTTCCGAAAACCAAGGCAATAGAACCACTGTGCCTTCCACCCGGACCATTGTGCAACCCTTTGAGAAAGTTCCGGGCATATTGGGAATCTTTACTCTCCAAATTGTATCCAATTCTATCTACTCTAAAGTTAAGAGTCCAAACTAAGCGGAATCGTTGTCCATAGAGGTACTTTTGGAAATGTTTGATGCTACACAGTTACTCCTCGTTGGTTTCAACCGACTAAAATACGCAACTACGTTCACTTGCCCATCAATTACCTACGCCTCCTGTAACGTTTGGTTATATAATATCTCGACACCTGTATAAGGGAAAATAATTTAGGGAGAAGAAAAACTCTATGTTAGTATTAAAGTGAAAGAAACATTTTTCCACAGTGTATTCATAAATATACATACATACATATGTACATATATATGTGCAAACAAAACTTACTTGGGTTTAAGTAAGAATTATTAACCCCCAACGTACTTATAGACTGGCCAGAAAGGGAGTGGCTAACACTTTGATTTAATAAGTATAATTATGTATTTTACTGTAAAGGATGGGAAACTTACTATCACTGACACTAAAAATTAAGTAATCAATATAACAATAACAATATACTGTGTGACTTATTTATGGCGAAAAGCGAGTACTAGATTCATTTTAACAGTTGCTTTATTTCATAAAGTTATAAAATATGGAGTACGTTCGGCAATGCCCTTCGAAAAGTTTATACTTTATAATACATCAGGTTAGGCCTTCACGCTTCTAAAATGCAATATGTATGTGATTGTAACAGCGTTTACACATTTTCCGTAATGCCATTTCCATATTCCCCCATCCACATTTGTGATAAGTGGTTCAGAATTTTTTTGCCGACTGTGGTTCGCGCAGATTTTCTGTGTAGTAGACAAGAAGAGTGACACGAAATTGAATGCAATTGCTTTAATATTTTTGCCGATTATAGCCTCGTTCAATTCGGCGGCATTGTTCCCTATTGTTGTTGCCATTGGGTGAGGTTTTTTACGCGTTCGGTCGTAGTCTCGTGTTGCTTTCGGTTCGGATTAGAACTTCCTCTGTTTGCCATTAAGCGGGCTAAAGCAATATCAACTTTTTTTTCTAAACGTTCCAATGTCTAGACTAGCATCTTTCATCTCACCTAAGTACCTTACCGCTGGGAGGGTCTCAAATACGTAACCATTGACATTCAAAATCTTACATTATTTTTCTTAATTGTTATAAGTACACCTTCAGTTTTCTGTATATCTAGCTGCCATATACAGTCTTATGGTTTCTTCTTTCGCAAACTATTAGGGCTCATAACTGTATAACATTTATTTATCATTTTACCCTCATAATTGCAGGAAACTACACCAAACACCTTTTTGTAATCTAATAATCCGGCAACATATAGGCTGAATTCGTTACACAATGCAGCTCGTTCTGCGACAACTTAGTCATTGTATTGAGCTATAAATTGATTGAATACTTTCGTTCTAGGAGCGTCGCGTCGCGCCAACATGTGTCCCCAATCGAGATAATACAATTCCATAATTTGTTGTGTGGTTAGCGAACTTCTATGTATTTACTGGAAACTGTTTGGTTTGTACATAGTATGTACATTCATGATTCAATATCGAGATGACAAACCCACATATTGCCAACATCAATTGTCCTTCCTTCATTTCCTTCCAACTGAAAGCCATTTTCTTAACCACCATCGCCTTGTCATCATCAACTTGCGCCACCTCTTTGTCATCAACGTCGTGGCAGTATCTAAAGACATCAATATTGTCCAATGCGCGACACCTACCACATTTATTATGTGATGTGCACTCGACGGTGGTGCTATCATGTCGGCGAGTGAACCGTTATGTTGCACTTGTGTAACGCCTACTATTTGGCAAGTGATTTTTGCTACTACACAGCTTTACTCGCTCGCCCATTACGATACAAAATGTCAGGTAAAATGTGACTAATATCTTTTAAGGTTGTTAGCGCATCGCTTTCGGTTCCAGAACTTTTCGTACATTTCTTAGTTGATACACTGGGAAAATAGTTTAGTTACTTCAACTAAATATGTTTCTCTCAATAGATGACTTGGTAATAGTAATATTTAGGCCAAAGTCGTAAAATTTGTCAATGTAATGTAAATGTAGTTATATATTTTCCATCAGTTTGAAAAAATTTTCGTTTAGTTACAAAGTCCTAAAAAGATTTTGGTCGTTATTTAACGTTGAAAACCTTTACGAATTTAACACTCTACGAAGTTTATGACGTCTTGTGAATCCCCTAATTATTTTTTGGTTATAGTTACTACAGAAACGAATAACGGTTATAGCACCAAACAAGGTAACTTCCTTGTGTTGAGAGGAATTAAAAATTGTGCAAGCATTTGCAGGTTTTGAAATTATCTCTTTTGATAGTTTGATTTATGATCCAAATATTAGATAACAAAAAGGGATCCTTACGTGTTCCATATCTGTGTTCGTATGGAAAAATAGCCTATGTCGAAAGGCTGGCTTTAGTATAAATCGGCATTCGCAGCATACGATTGCGATACTAGCAAGTCAATATTTTTATTAAGTCTCATCCAAAAATTCCTTGGCAACACACATATAAATATATATATATATTTTTTTTGCAGTGTTGACTCATTTGAAGTTTTTCTCAAAATGGTTTCCGAGTAAGCATCTGGCAAGAGAGATGGCTTGTAATAAGTTGAATTCATATGTTTTTGAGAAAAATACAAGTTCTCAAGCCAGTTTTGGAAAAACTGATTAAAAAACTGATTAAAAAACTCGAGAAAAATGTACACAATATTATCTAGAGCATTTTAACATACCCTAATCTACAGAAACTTGATTTAATTCCCGTTTCAGTTCTAGACAACAACCTTACGGAACAAAAAATATACAACTTTTTTTCACAGTCTACTAATTTTGCCCTTTTTATGTGTCCGTGCGTGTGTTTTGAATAGGTAACATTGTCACTTTAGTGTGACAATACCATAAATATACATAGTCAACATTAGCTGTGACTACATTCCGCCGTTGATAGGTGCCTTCGTCGCTACGTGAGAGACCCTAACGGAAATAAGGGTGAGTCGCGGTAAAGGACGAACACTGTTGTTTGCATTTTAAGATACATTCATACATAGGCATTTTATTACTTTGTATACATGTACTAGGGTGGTCCTAAAACATATCAATATCTAAATTTTGTATGAGGCACTCCTTTATTTTGTTGTATGTACCAAATAAGGACATCCATGAAAATATCAAAATTTTAAAATAATTTTTGAATATTTTTAAATCGCAAAAAATCGACCAAAATTTGGAATTTAACCAGCTATAACTCAGCAAGTTTTGGTTCGTTAAAACAAGGTGGTAAGACGTTCAATGGAATTTTAATTATTTTTCCAACGAATGCATACCGGCTGCCACTGTCCAATACCTATGTATGTAGAATTGATCGCTGATTCCGAAAATCTAGTTAATTTTTTTCTATGAATAAGTTGTTGAGATATTTGCAAAATTTACCGTATATCTTATGAAGAAATTGAAGAGTCTTAGTATGAAATGTGGCAAATGATAGCTAACAAAATTCTCCATAAACCGCATGTGCATCACTTTTCGGTAGTCCTGATAGTTTCTTTGAAATTAATTAATATCTCCAATTTTTTTGTTTTACTGATGAAAATTAAAATTTAAAAAATTTTAAACTTACAGATGTGTAAATTTTTTTCTGTAATTTATTTTTTATTTTTTTA